TAAATAGTCGAATTATATTTTAAGTATCAAAGTAATCTATAACAAGATGTCTCGTACCAACACAGTTAACTTCTTCGGAAAATCGAAGGATCAAAATAATTCAAATCAATGAAAAAAAGTGATTTAAAAAATGGTGATTTAAAAATTGAGTGTTAGAAAGGAAAAAGAAGGAAGTAAACGCGTTGTAAATATGGACGAAAGTCGCGCGCGGTACAAGTGGAGGAAATTCAAGGTGTATCGATCTCTCAATTGTATTGATTGGAGCCAAGCAATCAAGATGGAGTCAATAATCCATGATCCGTTCAGCCCGGGAACCGGTCTACCCAACGTGTAATTGGGATCAGTGCTTATCTGTTGGCGCACACCGGGTTTGAACCCGGTTGCCAACATCCCCGTTTTGCTTCCTCATCGCCTTTACGCGACTCCTACATGACTACTTAACGTAACTGCTTTCGAACCGTTTTACCAACGAATTGTTAACTGGCTATAATCCTCCGAATTAAATATAATTTTCCCCCTTTTTATAAAAGCACTGTTCTTTTAACAAATAACACGGTTTACTGGTCGTCGAAAGTAGGAAAAACTCGATTCACCAAACTTCAGACTCCATATAAGTATTAAACAAACCTTCTCGACAAAACTTTTAAGTATTATACTTTTAACACGAGCAAAGAGAACGAGAGGAATTACAAAAGTTTAAAAGGATGTATTGTATATCGAAAAAAAATTCTTTCTCTATTTACATGCTTGTTATAGGACTCGTAAATATTATTTGTTAGCAATTCCTATTGGATGTACAATTTCAATTACGTTAATTTTATTATTTTTGCAAGGATATATTTCTTTTGTTATTTCTGGTGGGAAGGTCGTTAACATTTACAAAATGTAATCGATGTTCGTATTATCTGGACGCGTACCAGTTTCTGTATTACAAATAGGGGTATGTTAGTATTGTCTCCTAATGTAATTAATAAGTAATATTATTCGCAGCTTATTACCTTATCACATCTGCATAAATTGGAGCTTGTATCTAATTATGCGCCGGTGATTGGATTCTGATGGTGGCTGCTCTTGTTGTAAGGCTTCGATCCGTATTAATTAAATCACAGTAATTTTGCATTGTTCTAACATAACTTTTTGCCTCGTTTAAATGCACGTATTTTCAACGTACACGTGAACTGACTAAAAATTATATTTCTTTAAAATATGTAGTCTTTAGATTCGAAACTTTCTGTCACACAGGGTATTATTTAACCCTGCAAACTATTTGTTGTGCAAAAAAAAAATGTTTCAAAAGTAATTTGGTATCAAGGAGGACGTGTAGTAATTTGATTTTAAATATCTCGGAGAATTTATTTAAAATAAACCGTGCTCGTTGAAATATTTTTAAATTATGAATAAAATGATACACTGAAACATGGTGGGGGTTCCATCACAGTACACTATAATGGACTAGGGGATGGTTGCTAATTTGCACATTATAGATCGGATAATGACTTAATATACATATTTGAATATTTTATAGAGCAAGTATACTTAAACTTGATATTGAAAATATACATAATATGTTAGTGAAAATTAGTTACGGAATAGATGTTTCAAATAGGCTATATGCTAATTTTTCATGACCTCAGGATAAATAATTGTGCACTTTGAAAGCAGGTAAAAAATCAGGTAATTTCTAGCATTGGCCTTTCGTTTAAATTTCTCGAAAGAAGTTCGATCGAGCGTTTACGCGAATGTGTAAAAGGAAAATTACGAAGGTTACTATGTTTAAATTCTTTCGCTTTAATGAAACATTCGCAAAGGGGAAATAAAACAGGACCGTCAATTACGAGAAAGGTAAATTGATCCTGCGCATAGGAAGTTGAAAGCAATTATTAAATACAAGATATATTCTATAAAATATTAATTCTCGAGCGCTGGCGTGTCGAACCAGTAGGTCAATTTTGATCGTAAAACGACTGTTTGTTTTATTTATTTAACATCTTTATTACTCGATACACGAGTACAAAAACTTTACTGTATGGAACTTTTTAAAGCAAACGCAAAACGTGTCTGACTTATGCCACTATAAATGCCAACCCGCCATTTTAAATTATCGCCACGCATTTGTATAATTACAGCTAGAATATAGGAGTAAATTCGAATTCAGTCAGCGATATAAATACATGTTTCAGTACACATAAATTTGAATTTATTAAATAGGTAAAATATGCTGTAACATGGGGCGGAAGGATACTTTATTTAAAACTATATTTAAACACATTTCCAGTAGAATAATATATTGCTCGAAGGATCAAGGTAATTTTTTAGTTAAAATGTTTAGCTGGAAATTGGGTAATTACTATTAATATCTACTAAAATAAATTTAATCTCAATTAAAGAAATATGTATAATTTAAGCTTCTGATTTAAAATGAAAACATTCGAGCGTTACTGTTTCTTTACAAATATTAAAAGGTTTGTTAAAATTGTCTTAAATAGTGACAGCGTGGGGAAGATGAACGACAGCGAAATTCTGTCGAGCAAACGTAACATAACGTGTTAAACTCTCTGACTACGTTTAACCGGATATACATATTGCACGTGCTTGTACAGAACGTAAATTTGCAATACTATGCCGATGGAACAGTATGCGGGAGTACGAGTTACTTGGGGAACGTGAAGCGTCACGTGTTTACAGTGGGAAACTCTGTTTCGTAATTTAGCCAGACGCGTTCCTTTTATTGAACATTCTCGGCCGATACAGTCGTTCTAATAAATATCCCGAATCCCGTACTTTTTATTCGTTCTTTCATTAGAACGATATTCGAGAAGAATTGGAGCTGAAAAACCGGAACATAAAGAAACAAAAAAAAAACACGGAGAAATTTAATTAAAAACTGTTACATTTGAATATGTATGGATAGAAATAAAAATGCGGTTCAAATTTCCTTGCTTTAGTTAACCTGCATTGGCAAGCATCGAAATTCCCACTGTGGTAGTAATTTCACTGTCCAAGCAAAGAATCTTTTATCGATCGATTCAATTTTATTACCGGTGTAGCAATTATTGCACAAATAGTAAAAGTATTTTTGTTTTTTAATTCATCGATTAGAACTTGATGTATTTTTGTTTCTTTTTTTCTTCGATAATATGCATTGGCAATAAAGTGAAAAATAAAATGTCTTCGAATAGAAATATAAATCCACTTAGTTATTTTCTATTTAAAATAATTAAAGCAGGTTTAAGAATTTGAATACGTGGCACCACGTTGTATGTTTTGTGGCGTCGCTTCCCATGCTCGCCACCAGAGGGGATCGCGTTCTTACAAGTGCTCGACAGACCCCTCGGTTGCTATACATTGTGTAAAATAAGTTTCCGGAATTTCTCACTTTTAAATCCCACAGTGCATGTATTGAAACAAATTTTTGTGTGTAAGTAGGCAACATTGTATTCAGTTGTTACGCTAAATTTGATCGCAATATGACAACCAGTGTGTTCACGGCAATTATTTACACCAGTCGATCTCGAGTGTGCTCTGCGATTTTTGCGATGGAAAGAACTGTCGAGCAAAGAATTTGCCTTAAATTTTGCGTTTCTAACGAAATTTCTTGTGCCGAAGCGTTACAAATGTCACAGAAAGCCTATGGTATCTGGTGCCTATTAAAAACGCAAACATATGAATGGTACAAGGCATTTAAAGAGGGCCGGGAATAAGTGCAAAATTTGCCGCGTGCCGGCCGACCGTCAATAGTTTCGACTGACGAAAACATCGAAAAGATAAAAAAAATGGCCATCAATAATCGTCGCCTGAGTGTTAGAGAGGTGGCTCATGAAGTGGAAATGTCTCACATGTCCGTGCATAACATTTTAATTGAAGTTTTGGGCATGAGACGCGTCGCTGCACGACTTGTTCCGAAGGAGCTGAATTTTCTGCAAAAAGAACATCGAGAAGCAGTTGCTGAAGACATGATTTCACGGGCTTCTAGTAACTTTATCTTCATGAAACGCATCATAACCGGTGACGAAACATGGGTTTATGAGTACAATATGCAAACAAGTCAACAAGCTTCGGAATATCGCTTAGAAAATGAACGAAACCCTAAAAAACCGCGTCAAAGTCGCTCGAAAATTAAGGTCATGCTCACTGTTTTCTTTGATTATCGTAGTGATGTTCATTCGGAATTCCTTCCAGATGGATAAACAGTAAATAAAGAATATTATTTGAGCGTCGAAATATTCGAAAATATTCGTCGGAAACGGCCAGATGCGTGGAAAAACAATTCTTGGATCCTGCACCACGATAATGCTCCGTCGCACAGATCGATCTTGGTACGCGAATTTTTGGCCAAGAACTCAACAAATGTGATCGAACAAGCACTGTATTCACCAGATATGGCCCCCTGTGACTTTTTCTTATTTTCGAAACTCAAATTACCCCTTCGGGGAAGGCGTTTTGAGTCGATAGAGGCCATAAAAGAAAATTCGCAGAAGGAGCTGAAGGCGCTACCTTCTTCAGCGTTTAAAAAGTGTTTTGAAGACTGGGAGAAGCGTTGGCGTATATGCATTGCTTCTGATGGGGCCTACTTTGAAGGCGATAAAATAAATTTGGATGATTAAGTAAGGAATTTGAGTTTTATTTACAAATTCTAGGTACTTATTTTACATAATGTATATATAATCCTTCCCAATAATCCTAGTCGTTTAAGGCAGGGCCTGCTAGAAAGCCTTTCTGTCCTCTTACAAAATTCCGCAAGTTCCTAATCGCAGCAAAGCAGCGCCACAGTTTCAAAATTTTTTTCTCCCGATTATCAACAACTGTATGAATGTTCAAACAAGTTAACATTTATGAAAATAATAGTCAAAGCGACGACAGGAAGTGGGGCCAGGGAGTTACTCAATTTTAAAGGAATATATTACACTTATATGAACAGACAACTAATGCGAACTTGATTGTTTACTCTGTGATAAAAATATTGATAGATTGATTAAGAAGATGACGACCTTGTGTTTCAGAGGGACCGAGGTTCGTTTCACCAATAACAAACGTGACGGTCTCAATGAACAGAGACGCCGTGCTTCACTGCGTCGTCGCGAATCTTTCTATCTACAAGGTAATTTCTCCACTAACAATGTCACCTAATCTTACACTTTGTTCAGACTTTTACCGACGAGCATCGTCCGATCCTAATCAGCAAAAGCAATTCGGGGCGCATCGGATCCGTGCTTACGTCAGAATTATAATAGGCAAGCTGAAATAAATTCTTTCGCCTGTGTTCATACAATTTTTGATTAGAACTTTGAAACCGTAAAAGTTTTGCAATAACGACGTCAGTTATTTTTATTCGGAGACGGAGATCGATCCCTGTGGGACTGTTTCGAAAATTTGTCCGGGGGATCGTCATCCAAAAACCTTGAAAATGTTTCGTTGCTAAACTGAGCGACTCGCAACATTAGCCTCATTAGACAGTGGAACTTGCAAGTTCTAAACTTATAAACCGCGCGAATCCGATGAACACGATGGCGAAACTTGGTAAATTGCTGTCTAATTAGGTACTCTGACGACACGGGGCCATAAATGGAAATCAAGCCTCGAAAACACGAATACAGTTAGCTTTTTACAGGGCAGGAAAATAATTTGAAAGTTGAAATTCTTTGCTATTTCGATGCCTTTGGTAGAGCTAGTGTTGAATACTTTCGCGGTGGTTTCGTGTAGAGCAGCATGTAACGCTTTGTTTGGTATAAAAATCCATGGTTGTTCGTCGAGCGGCAAGTTTTGATCGAGTAACTCGATTTCAACCGGCCTGTGGGCCGAATCGACGGACATCGCGGCTTTTGTTTGCCTATTCTGACCACACTTTTAGAGCAACCGCGAGCTAAAACGGCGCGATCCAATGAAGAAAGGACACAGAATATGTGAATACGCTTTTGAAATCATTCAATCCTCGAAACATTTACAAATTTGTTCGTTAAATTACAGACAAAATACTACTTTTATTTATGTAAAAATGTTCTTTAAAATTTTCAAAATAAATACAATATTTTGCCCGAAGTAAACATCAAACAATTACAATTGTAAAATTTTCATTTACTAACGAGGGTTCTACGAGGACTGTGAACGAAATTTAAATTTATCTTTTAACTCGAAATAGTTTTCAAAGTCACGTAGTGCGAGTATATTTTCTAAAAAAAATGTCCTGTAGAATTTCTACGTTCCAAAAATAAATAAAACGTTTCACTGATCTTTACCAATAATTCTAATCGTTAACGCTATTTTCCATCGCTAATATTTGCTAGAATTTTGAGTGTATGTTTTGGAAAATAGCTAAGAAATTTCAATAAAGTCTGACTCTCACACTGGCTATTGCTATGACAGTGTATTGAAAAAGTTCATGGAACACTTGATTTACATAGTACGCAGTCGTTGAAGATTTAACTGAATTTCCAGTCTCTAATGATTGAAATAAACGTGAAATTCCATCGTCCAGAATGCATTCGCCAGCACGCTGCACACTTTGAACGTTTCCAAATGGATTTTGCGGTATAACGAACATCCTTCCCGTGACGCTGCAAACTTTGATAAATTAAAGTTCGTTCGTCGCGGGATAATAATTTTTTCCACTCTGCTACGTGACAAATTATACGAGCGAATCATCTGGTACACATAGGAAACTCCTGAAATGGAAGGATTAAGACGGGAGGATTCCTAGATACGTTTAGCAAATTATTCGCAGGATGATACTAAAAATGTTCGGAACAATCGGAAACGGTACAACAATTAGAACGATATTACTCCCAAAACAATAATTTCTTGACATTTTAAAAATAGTTTTAATTATATTAGAAATTTATATTAGAGTTACAAGCTTATTAAAAATACTAAAAAGTATTTAATGAAATTGTACACAATTCTGCTCCCAAACTAAAATATTACTCCCAAAACAATAATTTCTCGTCGTTTTAAAAATAGTTTCAATTATATTAGAAATTTATATCAGAGTTATAAGCTTATTAAAAATACTAAAATATATTTATTAATTATATAATTAATAAATTTATTAATTTATAAATTATTATAATTGTGCAAAATTCTGCTCCAGAATAAAACTCCAAGAATTTCAGGAAAATATAATAAGTTTCAATTAAAATGTAATAATACACTGAAATTTAGTCTCTTCGTTTTATCGATCCTATTAATTATTTTATAGATTTTCGTTCGAAAGCATTCGAATATTTTCGTAGCTTTCGGGGGAAAAATTTTCTCGAAAGATGATTCGTTCGCGTCTTTTAGAAAAGGCATTCTAGACGCGGTTCTAAAATAATAATTGATGGCTATATCGTCTGGGGTCCACGTTTACGAGAGTCATTATATTTCTTCTACCGGGCGTTCTGTTTTTCATTCTTTCGCCGTAGAACTTTGCGTATATTCGTTACGCCCCCGACGAAATGTTAATGGCGGCGAAGAATATGAAGATGGATGGCTGGGTGAAAAAAGTTCCAATTATTTCCCACCATTGTATTTTTATTCGCTACACACGACTAACAACGGGACCACGGTGGCTATACTATTTATCACCTATCAAAAGTTCAATCTTTTCGTTCAAAGTTTTATAAAAAGTATTTCATATCGAAGAGGCAGGAAACATCGACTGCTAAAGAAAAATGTAAAATCTCTGAGAAAACATACATCTGCCGTTTTTAAATTACATTATAATTATACATGCAACCTCAATTGTAATTATCAATTCGATTGAACTTTCTGAAACGACTTCGTGAATATTTCTACATTAATTTCAGCAGACCCATTAAAAACAAAATCATATTTATTCTGTACGAAATTTTTATTTAGAACGATTTGTTTCGTTTAATATTTCGAAAAGATTATACCAGAACCAACGAGCAGTGCAAGAAATGATCGAGTTTTTAAAATTGTCGTTTGCAAAGCATTTTAATCAACTTGCTTCGGCCGCGAAGCACTATGCCCACGTGCTATGTGTTGCGCGGACCGTGCGTATTACACAGCTCCTTACTGTGTTCCCTTTCCTTGTGCTCGAAGGACCACCCAAACTGGTGTTTGGCAAAATACCGATAACTGAAGCCCATTGATTCTGATTGAGAGCCCGTTGCTCTTCGTGTTACACAAGAGTATGAAACGTCTTGTGGAGAGTCTAGTTGAGTTCGTAAGGCTCGATCAAAAACGAGTCTAATCCGAAAACTTAATGCTATCCTTAACCTAAGCTAGGCTTCCCCTACCAAGGTAACGAAAATGCGCAGCGCTAACCGGTGGGAGGATTGGTCAAGCCAATCTTCAAAGTCGTCATCTTGGTAGGGTGTTTCCTGCTTTTTGCAACATTCCCGCCCACCCTGGTGTCCAGTGTCCAGGTACACTATGCAAGAGTGAGCGAGAACGTTGCCTTTTTTATAAACATTTGGGGAAAGCCAACGCCCCCAAGACCCCGGTGGTCTGCAGATGTGCGCTCCCGCGGGTTTACGATACGTCAATCGCTATTGAGGCAAGGAAGAGCTCCAAGGATTCCAAGTCCCGTGTGGAGTTTGGAGTTTCCTTAATGACCGTAACGCAATTTGTCAAGTAAAAATATTTCGAAGGCCTAATCCTCAAAAATAGCGGACAAGTCACGTCCATATCATAAACCCCGCGATGTGAAGGTTCCTTAAGAATCCTTAACACAGCTGATTTTGAAAGTGTTTCGCTAACTAGAATCTTAGAAATCCATCTCGTTAGCGGTTTGATGCCGACGTAAGCAACTCGAGGCGACAATCGTCGCCGAAATTTTCATACGCGGGATGAATAGCTCCCACAAGAGGATCTGAAGGAAGTTCGCGCAAGTTATGCCACTTGCATCGACTTCTCTTCGCTTACACCAGCCAGACGATCCCGTGGTGTAATTCTCGTACCTGGGCTGTTTATAGGTTGAACATTTATGCAAATACGTTGCTCGCGTCGCTTTCTTCGTGTGTCAGGCAGATGAGTGCAATTATTCTAAATTGCCAGACCGTGGAAACGCTCGTGTTGGAACGACGTGCTGGAAATCTGCGTTCGGCACAAATCAATTACATTTTCGATCGATTAAAAAACAATTGCAATCGAAAACGCGTCATTCCATTTGTGGAACCAGCTACCACGTTTGTATCGTACAGTTTGTGGAGTACGGTGGTTTTAAAATAGTCTATTATTTATTTGGTGAATTAAATAAAATTTGTAATTCCTGTTTCTTTTAAAAATTGGTAGGTGAACTCTATTTTTATCGAAACATATTGGTACATACGCGCTTGTACAGAAAACAATTTTCCACTTTCTGAAATTGCGGATAGAATTGTGCGGAATTCTGTCCTTTGAAATTTTCTTACATATCCAATAGCTTCAAAGAATACGGTTGCTCGAGACACTCTGTATAACAATGCGATCACTTTTATACGAGTATTATTATACGAACTTATTCGAATACGTTCGGAGTTCGTGGAAATTTATTCTTCTAGGTCTTATTCGCCGAATGAAGAACTGCAGCGGGGAAAGGGGAAGAAAACAGGGTCCATAAACCACAATCACCATAATCAGCGAGGGAAATCTTCGGGGAGGGGTGATGAAGTATGAGTTCAGAATGAGTTGACAAAACGTGACGCGTTACTCGGGGAAGCAAAGGAACGCAAAGTAGCAACAGTCGCTCGAAACGCCACTAAAGATACAGCGTAACTCAAGATTTTCGGGAGAGAAATTGCACTGTGAGGAAGATTAAGTCCACAGGAGGGTAGGTTGTGCCAAAAAAAGGGATTAGGAGCTGAGAAAAAAATTTAGAAGAAGTTTCAAACCATTTACATATCACACCTATACGAAGAACGTTCAGATCTGATAATTGCAAAGCATCGAAAATTCCATATATCATTTTTTAAAAATACAAAAGTGTTGTGTACATGATCTGTAAACCGAACAGAGTTTTATTCAATTTTAAACCTACAATTTCTGTAACAACTTTGTCGACTCTGGGAATTTTCTAACGAAACTTTCACAGAATATTCTTTGTCCCGCGTATAATTGAATAAGAAAATTGAAAGAAAAATACCTGCAGAAGGAAATTGTTATTTCTTCGGAGGTGTT